TACACCAAGATCTTTTATACAGTCAGTACGGGAAATTAAAATACCACTTACAAAGTAATTAAAGTAAATACTGTTGGTTTTCCGTGTGAACGATATAATTTTTGTTTTCTCAACATTAAGTTCCATAGAATTATCTTCACACCACTGATGTACAGAATCAATATCGGCTTGAAGAGATTTGCAGTCATCCACAGAATGTATGTCCCGATATAGTTTCAAGTCATCAGCAAATAAGAGAAATTTCGAGAACTTAATTTTGTCACCAATGTCATTGATAAAGATATTAAATAATAGAGGTCCCAAGGTAGAGCCTTGCGGGACTCCAGATAGCACCGAGTAAGGAGAGGAAGACTGCCCTAAAATACGAATAAAGGCCGATCTGGATGATAAATAACTTTGGACCCACTTGACGTACTGAGAGGATAGTCCAAAATGATTAAGCTTTCCTAAAAGAGAGAAATGAGGGACTGAATCAAAGGCCTGTCTGAGATCGAAGTATACAGAGTCAATCTGCCCCTGTGAGCAAACAGAAGGCTGAACATCAGTGAGGTAGGAGACTAAATTAGTTACCGTGGATTTAGATTTGGAAAAACCATGCTGACTAGGGTGTAACTTAAATTTGAAATAAAATGAAAGATGATCATGAACGCTAGGAAACGAATGCCAGTTGAATCCTTATTTTAAGGAGTTCAGAGATAAAATAACCCAATTTTGAATTGAAGAGGCACTGTTTGGAGAATGTGGAACAATCTCAAGAAGAGTTAAATAAATCCAGACAACATAAAGAATGGAGAAAACAGCATAAAATTTTGTGCTGAGCTCTTTTCCACATCAAAATGGGCACACACGGATTACTCTACATAAAACAGAGAAAGAGAAAAACGGCTTGACGTCTTCACAAGAATATGGGGTTCAATTTCTGCTTTGTTGCTGGTTGAGAATATTTTCCATGTGCCGTTTATTATCATGGTTTTTGTCCGAAGCTGTGAATCTGAACCCCGTTTACTGCGACTTTGTTTCTGTAATAGTGTTTGCTTATTACATCTCCTGGTTTGTAAAAACGTACACGCAAAATAAAAGTACAAGTTTGTACTCTCACTTTACCCCTGCACGGGGCACAGAGTATGCAAAGTTACGAAAAATACTAATATTTACGAAACTATAGAAGTTCATTCCTCATTTTTCGCAGAAAAACTATTTCCAAAGCTTCCGAAAAATAGATCTACGAATTATTTGATGCAATCCATTGATGTTTTACACAAACTAAAAACATCTCCACTTTCCAACATATTTTGTGTACAGTGAAGAACTAAAATTCACATTCAGTGTTATACTATCCTTAATCATGCATACTAAATATCAAAAAATAAACGCAGAATTTATATTCATACCAATGAACAATATTCATTTTACATATTTGTCTGGGGGCCCAAAGTTGAACGTTCGCCGAAAACGGTGATGTGCAACCGGTGATCCACGGAAACCATCTGGGTGTGGCACGAAATTATCACCTCATATTATACCTCCACTGGGGATACTGGGAACGACCCGTTCTTCAAGTGCCTGAGCACTGCGGGTCCCAACTTTTCGTTGACTTGATCTATAGACATCCGGTAGGACTCCTTAGACAAGGGATCGGCCCGTCGCAAGGCCTCTGCCTGTACACAGGACAGCACGACACAGAAAAAGGCGGACAGACATCCATGGCTTGAGTGGGATTCGAACCCACGGTCCCAGCGACCAAGCGGTCTGAGGCGTGGGCCTTCTGCCGCTTGGTCACTGGGACCGTGGGTTCGAATCCTACTCATGTTTGTGCGCGTCTCTCTGTGTTGTGCTGTCCTGTGTGCAGGCAGAGGCCTTGCGACGGGCCGATCCCTCGTCCAAGGAATCCTACCGAATGTCTATAGATCAAGTCAACTAAAAAGTTGGGGACCCGTAAAGGGTACCGGAAAATGTAGAAAACATTGTTAAACCGTAAAAAGAAGAAGAAATAAGAATAAGTATCATTAAGTTTAAATGATTACACATAGTTAATAAATTTTGGATTAAACGATATGTATAAATATGTTTTAATTTGTTTCAAATAATGAATATATTTAAAGTAAATGACACAATAACAAAGATGGATTATGAACAACAAATAGAACATTTTTCGGTTGGGATCGATTTGCAAGAAGTTGTCGCAGCCAATCAATGCCATAAACCATCTACCACAATATACAGAATGGGGTTGGTGTGCCGCCATGACTCTTCGACAACAGTTAGTGTGCCGCGAGTGTAGAAAGGTTGCTCAACACTGGCCTAGGACGCCAAATACCTTTGCGCCGACCCTGATCATAGCGTAGCTTTTTGCAACATAACACTGATAAAGTTCCAAAGCTAACAACGTATTTAATGCAATACACCAAAATAAACAACCAAAACGCTATTCTACTCACCTGCTACACTTCCACCAAAAACAAACATCACAAGGACACCGAGCACGAAACTGTGCCTACTACTCTGCATCTTGAACACCTTAACAACGTGTAGCCCTATTATATATACTTTTCATAGCCTGGAGTTTCGACCAAGTGGACCATATAGCTTCTTCCAACCACCGCAACACAATTCTGACCAACGTTTGACGATCTTCAAGAGTGCAATTCAAATGATGCAGAAGCCACTGACATGCGCAGCCTAGGTCTGGATGGGATTCTCACAGATAGCACAAACATAGATAACGTGTTGCAGCAGTAAGGATATGAGGTTATTCATCAGCCAAACGCGTGATTTTGGCCTGTAGTAGTAAATACGTTTCTGCGAAGTTTTTAATATTAGGCCGCAACTGACAAGTCTATTTTTCTTCTCTTTTACTTGTAGTCCCATCGGCCTACAATATTTGGGATTTTAACACAGCAGCAACTGTAAAAATTGTTGTAGCGAATTAATTTTAGTTAACACATCGTCAAATTAGGAATGTAGAGATTTTAAGTTGCATAGCATTAAGTATAGCAGATATATGAATTGTGCTTAAAATGTATAAATGTGTAAATGTAATTTTCTGGAACTGTGGGAAATAGCAAAGGCTAGCTCACCTTTCTCTAAGGGGGATAGAAAAAACAATTAACGGAAATGCGTACGTAGCCATTAGGCAGTCAGCAAAAATATTGGAAACGCGAATGAAAAGTTCAGGAGGAAAGTTGGAGACAGAACCGTCGAAACTTTCAAGAAGTAAAGAGGTCACTGAAGCCATGGTCAACGGGACACTGGTCGGGCTACTGATTGCAGGTAAACGCCGAGGCGACGACTGGTACATGTACTTTAGTAAATCTTTCAAAATTTATATAACCAAATTGTTGTAGAGTGTAAAGTGAACTAGCCTGAGTTAGGAATGAAATGTTCAACACAGATGTAAAATGTATGTAGTACCTAGTCTTAGAAATAAATGATGTAGTCTTAGCTAACAATCTGTAGCTTCCTGGAAGAAATATCATATCACCTGGGTAAGTTTAAACTGACGACAGCATCCTTTGTGAACTTGCCTTGCTCCATTCCAAGCAACGCTACCAACATTAGTAGGACTAAACCTATCCACAAATCGCACCGTTACAATGTTATTAGTTATTTGTCAAAAAGTCTTCGCATTTGGTTAGATTGTGTGATCGTGTCATGTCCAATGGTGGAAAATAATGGATTGTAACAAGTCTAATGAAGCTTCCTACTGAAAAATACGGCGCACGGTTAAATAGGACAGGAGCTAGGAATTTCAAGTTGTAGGGAAGACAAAATAGTCTACATTTGATTGTTGTTTCGTAAGTAATTTCTCAGTTGATTGTTCTCTTATCACAAGCCAAATAAATTCAATTGAGGTGAATTTCTCATTCGAGGACGAGTTTAAAACCGTATTGGGAGTATAGAGAGAACACGGATGTACACAATTTTTGTTTCCTAATGTATGATACATGATTTCAATGTGTTTTTCATTACCGATAATAAATTTAAAAACAGAATTTTACCATCGCCCACAGATGTTTAAACATTTTCAAAAAACCGTTTCTAATTATGCCAATAGCTAGTGTTTGAAGAATTATCTTCTTCATTCCTTTGAATCTTATTTGACTGTTTTTGGTGTTTTATGTTTTAGTTTAACTGAGTGACATTAAAAAATAAAACACATAACTTCAAATTTATATGTTCTATCTGCTGTTTTATTTTTAAATTGGATAGCCGACACAAGAACAAGCACTGCTCGGTGAACATTGGAAAAATCGTCAGAAACTGACCTCAGGCGGAAGAAATGTTCACGATCCCTTAGTTGATACTGCGAAAGCATTTTTACCACCACTCCATATAAAACCTGGTTTAGTGAAAAATGTTGAAGGCCCTGCTTTTTTTACATCTGCAGCAAACATTCCCCCGCTTGAGCGAGGAAAAGATAAAAGATGGGATTTTTGTTGGTCACAAATAATGAAACTTACAACAGATAAAAACTTTTCACTCTATTTTGAATGAAGTTGAACAAGGTGCTTGAACAGCATTCAAAGATGTTTGTAGCAATTTTTTTGGGAAACAATAAAACAGACAACGAACAGGAAATTGTGGAAATACTCCACCAGTCATATGAAGCAATGGGGTGGAACATGTCCCGAAAGATTCACTTCTTACACTCACATCTGGATTTATTCCCGAAAAATCTCGGTGCAGTTAGTAACGAACATGGAGAGCGTTTTCACCAAGACATTGCTGTTATGGAAAAACTGTGCCAAAGGAAGTGGAGTGTTAAAATGCTGTCAGATTACTGCTGGAGTATTATCAGGGATGTGCCTGAGACCAATTACAAACGTGACACATCGGCTACAAAATTTTAAAATAAATACATAATTATTATTGTAATATTTGATTCATATATGAATAAAAATTGTTTTTTTAATTACGTATTTCTTTTTAACTGAGGGTGATGGAAATATTCTGAAGATTCTGTAAACAACACAAAAACAGTCCAGAAAGACGTGTCATGCATAAGGAATTTGTTTTAAAAAATTGTATATCAGTGTAATAAGTATATTCATAATTGTTTGATGAATTTTGCTTCTAGTCATTACGAATTAAATGCAATGTGCAGATTAATAATAATTTAATTAAAGCACGGGCTTGTGTAGGGGTACTCGGTTCGAATCTCAGCAGAGTTCCAGAATGTAACTGGCCAAATGTTATTGTGGTTTTCCTTATTCTCTCCAGACGGGTGTGCAGGAAAGAACTACCAAATACATGAAGACTGATTCCATCTCCACTTAGCATTCATGATAACCTTCCCACTTCCGCATTAGGCCTCATGTTGTATTTTGATTTGAAACAAAAGATGCAGGTAATTAACCATTTGCGGTCTCTGTCGGACTGAGTCCGCCACGTATTTTACAAATTTTTTACGTGATCTGGAGTCAAACTGAGGCTGCCAAACAGTGTCAGCATATCATTCAAGCCTTCTTCTTTGCAATAGTTCTGTCCTAGTTTTCCTGGCAAGACTTATCTCACTATTAATAATGCCATATTTGGTATTCCGACGACTAAACATAAATGCATATTGTAATTTGACTAAACATAAATGCATATTGTAATTTGATGTGTCTGTCTTTGTTTATAGACAATTATCGTATTAGCTGGTACCTTGGACTTTAATAATGACATATTTTAGAGTGAAATTTAAGAAAATGATTATGAAGCATCTCGTCCAGGCAAAAGTTAATTCACACAAAACATAGTTATTATAACTTTCGTAAACATTTAAATGCATCCTATTTGTTGCCCTGTGTCATTATAAGAACAATAACAATTTAAATTATTCGGAAGAACTGGCTTTTTGCTTAAAACACCCAGCGCAGCTATGGTGCATTTTAAAGTTCTGAGAATTTTAATATCACTACTATATACCACGCCTAGCTGGTGTGTTTGCAGTATGACACCATATACGCTACATTTCATATGCCTAGTTACGCCAAAATAATGATTTATTTTAAGTTTTCCTTTGTCTTTCAAGAGTATAAATCACATGTTGACCTTAAAAACAAGTGCTCTGTACCACACAATATTAGGATAACCACGTCGAGAAGGGGAAAATGGGCAGGGCACTATAGCACGCTTTGAAGAGATGAGAAACACAGGTCGGGCTTCCATTCCTGACAGAGGCAGAGGATTTTCTTTTAGCCCATCCATCCAAACCGGCTCTGGGGCCCACCCAGCCTCTTGTCCAATGGGTACCGGGGGTCCATTCCCCGAGGGCAAAGCGCAGTCGTGGAGTGACACTGACCACTCACCCTCATCTAGTGCAGAGGTTAAGAATGAGTAGGAACTATAATACCTCTCCCCCTGATAGCCTACATGGCGCGTAACGGGCTTAAGGGTGGGAGAATTGTGCGGTCGCCCAGGGTGCCTAGCTTAATCACGTTGTACCAATTCGCAAATACATCGTAGGGCTCAGAATAAGTAGTTCAGTGATAACAAGTTACTAAAATACTTAAAAATTTGAAATTTGCCAGAAATTTCCCATCGGTCAATCGTTATGGAACATGAAGTGGTATTCTTGCACTTAGAGCTACATTCCTGATGCCGAACGTTCCTTGTTTCTTTGAGTGTTACGCAACTAAAGATCATGCCATCACGTCTTATCGTTCACACCCTCCTTGTTTATTTTATAAACATAAATATTATAACTGACTGATAGGTAATGCAAATACTTAGGCAGTGCTACGACACTTTGTTTAAAGACTGATGCGAACTATCGGCGACGAAACCCTACGGCTCCATCCCTGAATAAAATACATCAATTCACCTATACCAGACAGACACGCCGCGCTATAAAATTATAAATACAGTAAATTTCATATTGGACTTTTTTTGTTATAGTATTAAAATTACCTTCCTTCTTTAATTTGTCACGAATGAAGTAAGAAGAATAGGACAAAAGACAACACATCACTTGCGCTTTAAGACACCAGTGCAGCACGGTACGACCAGGAGTGCGCGAGCAACAAAAGTAGAAAAATGTTTTGTTAATTATTGTCGCCAGCGAGTACGCGATGTTGCTGAACGCGCAAGCAATATCGCTTTGCAGTAAAACCTGTTCTATTTTCTGAGAGAATTATCGACTTTATACATGCGCAGGAACTCAGCCCCAGGGCAGAATGCTGCAGCTGTCGATTGGTATTGCAGTTGGTAAATCACATTGTTATTGTTGTACGACAACATGGTGAAAAACAATGAGGAAGTTTTAATTTCTGTAGTTTAAGGAAGACGCTACGAATAAACTTGATTAAATCTCATAAACATTTTGTAATCGATTAATCGGTTGAAGACCACATATCATTTTGTTTACTATAAAACCATATTTTTCGTACGAAATTTCTAGCAACAGAGCCCAGTGAAGTGTCTTCAATGACGCCATGCCACTGACGCAAATATAAAATCTAATCACAGTTGCAGCTTGCCAGCAGTGGTGGAGGAGCCAGTCGCGAGGTTCTGGAAAAATTGATTAGCGAGACCACTTAAAAAAGTACATGTAAGGCATTTAAGGTGATTTCAATTATAATAAATTTAAAGATTTGGAAACTACCTCACTAGAATTCACTCAACCGATTTATGCAAGACGTCCTTCTCAGCTTTTCTAAGCCGTAGTCATCATTACCATCAAAGTTTTCCAGAGCTGCAAGCCTGCTTGAGATTATGAACTGATACTGTTCTTTAACTTCTTGAGATTTTGCTTACCTCCCTCGTGTCTCTCCATAACCTTTGTAATAGTCAAACAGTGATCAGTATCAGACCTTTTAGAAGCTCAGATGCAAGGTGTGTACTACTGTCTTCTGTCAAGATATGATCAATATGTCTTCCAATCTGCAAGAGTCCAAATGTAGTTATGAATTTTATGTCGGAAAATTGTTCTCCTGACCTATAGATTTCGGACGTGGCAAAGTTAACTACTCTGACCCAATTACCATTACCAGTTTCATGCTGATTCTTGATCCCAATTCTCTGTTTGAAAATATCTTCCCACTACCTCTGCACTGAAATTTCCTGACTACATTTTTATGTGATATACAATTAATCAAATTCACACTCCAGTGCCTCATAAAAGTTTCAAGATTTTTGTGTGATATAGAGGAAACTGATCAAATGCACACTAGTTTTTCCTAAAATCTGCCCTTTTACATCATCACTCATCCTCAGACAAGGCATAGACATTCAGAACAATATGACGCCAATGACCACTGTCTTATGTGATATCACTAACTCCACCGTATTTAACATCCGATCCTTAATCCTTAATGTGGTCGAAGCAAATCTGTGTTCTCAAGATCCATGAGAAGTAAAAGGCAAGGGGATCACAGGGGTAGCAGATAAGGAAGTATGTACTGTCTGTACTCTTACCATTATTTCCCAGCAGTACTTTTTAGCACACTGTCTCATTTCCTATGCTGCTTATGTCTTTGGTTTGTTTGTTTGCTTTCTACTCACAAGCTAGCAACATAAGCAAAATGGACAGATTCACCTTGACTACATAAATTACACTTTCAAGAATTTTGACGTAAATGTGTCTATACGGAAGGGTCATTCGGCAAAAAAGTGAAAGGAAAACGTGTAACGAAAATGTGTACGATCCATATCAACAAATCGACAACAATGGCTACCTAGGGAACGTCGTGTTTACTCGGCATTGTTGTGTTACATTATTGCCATCAACAATCCGCTTTCGTTATTGCAGAAAGAGCTGAGCTGTGAATCGCTTGTAGAAGTGCGTCGTAGTGTAGATAATGTTGACATTACATTTAATTACATTACATTACATTCAGCTACCTTCCTTTCATTGTATTTATTGCTTAAATATAATTTAAATACAGAGACGTATTTACGTCAGATTCTCCGGAACCGTGGTTCCACTGTCAATTTTTTATACAAATTGTGAAATAAATGTTTACGACTTGTTTCCATACAAAATTCCATATGCCCCCTCCCTCCAATTTTTTATCAATCACAGCTAAAGTGAATTCTCACATGGCCATATATTGTCATTTTAAAGTTTATGAAAAAATTACCCCCCCCCCCCAAACACTACACATTTTAATAGTATGTTACAATTAATCATTTCATGACCTTACATTAAGTGATGCCAGCATCACTCCCACCTCAAAAGTTTGTGCACCTGCATTGTCATTTTCACAGGAGACTGAAAAATTATGGGATCAGGGTATTATTGGCATAAAGCACATACTGGGTTTCATGAAAATCTATCACATTTCAAAGTAGATTGGACTAACCACACATGATCTGAGAGAAATGAAAGGAAAGCTAACAGTAGGATGCTGCAATACAAAGACCCCTTTTAGAAGGTGACAATAATACAACTTGAAAAGAAATTCCCCTCCTTTTATGGAACCTGAAGTATAATTACTGTGCTCGCAAGATCCCAGCACATGGCAATATCTTCAGTACAGTCAATCATTTTAATTGTATTAATGTATGTTCATTCTTCCAAGCAATTTCCTCCATTCAGATTTATGACTGAAATTTTGTATGCATTTCTCATCTCTCCAATGTACACTACATGTCCCAACGACTTTATGTGAGATATTAGCTACAAAGAAAGCTGGTGTCATCACATCCATGATGGAAGGACACAAGGGTGAAGAGCATTTTAACAGATGACATTTTCGAGACAGAGATTAAGGATGTTTGAGCATTCCTAATAGAGCCCATGGAAGGCAGAAGTGGTGGCATAACATTTCCTGCTCCTTTTTCAGGACTTGTATTAAAATTTTTGTTCTATTTGCTGTTACTCTTCTTTGTTGCAGTTCCTTGTGATTTATATTTCTTTCTTTATCTCTTTTGTCCAACTGTTGTCCAGTCTGTAATAAGAATGTTGGAAGTTTTGGTTTAATTGGAAATATTTTGGGATATTATGTTACTTTTCTATCATGAAAAAGAACAAAATATTAAAAGGCTCGTTAAGTTTCGAGAATAAATAAAATAAAATTATAAGTGTTTTGCATTCATTATGTTTTATGCATTCAGTTGTCCTTTCCAGCACATTTTAAGCAATATTACCTACTGGCCAAACATATATATTATGTACCGACCTATGGTACACAAGTACTTTGTATCTTGGGCCATTTGTAAATAATTTTTTTAAAACCACTTTCAGTTTTTCATTATACCTTTCAAAAAATTGCAAAGATAGTGAATTTGCTAAGTTGCATTTTGGTGCTTAGTACATACAACATGAAAACTCCATAGATCAGTACTTCCAGCCATCTCAAAAAATACAGCCCAAGGTGCAAGGGTTTTCCCTATAATAAGTAAATATTTTACCAGTTTAATTGAAAATAGTCATTTATTAGAAATTTGTGCCTTTCTGGGTAAAAGTTATAAATGTAAAGTTACAATTTAAATCCCTCAGCAGAAAACACTGTCAGAAAACAACAGTGATCTGGAATTTAATCCCCCAGTGAACGATTATTTATACTTAGAGTACAAGCACTGAATTACAGCCAGTGGTGTATGAATCCAGTTACCAGTCACAATGGCACGTGATGTGATGAATGGATGCCTGAAAAATGCATAATAAACTTCCCTGTCAACATGCGACAATTTTGTGTCTTATGTATAGTTCCACATTGTACAGGCACACAATGAAGTTTCAAAACACAATAACTGTGAACCTTTAAACTAAATATTCACTCACTCGAGGAACTTGTTTCACTCCTCAATTGACTTTTGGGAATGATAAATTTATTTAAACTATAGCTACATATAAAACAGTGCATCAACCTTAGTCATCTGAAGAGTCAGTAAACAAAGACAAGATCCTCTTTCGTTTTTTTGGTTTCAGCACATGTTCCTCCCTCCCCACAGATGAATCTGAGTCTATCCTCTTCTTCTGCTTATTGTCTTTCTCATCTTTCTTGTTGTGCTTCTGTCTAGCATTTCTGCCTGACTTACTGGAGTACCTACCACTTCCATCATACCTGTGAGCAGACTGAGACACATATGAACGATCTTTGTGGTGGTGACTGCTACCAGATGTAGAAGGTTCTGCACTTGAATCATCTTTTACCTTCTTCAATACTATGTTCCATCTCTGAGACTGACTTTTCTTGGTCAAACTTTTCTGCCGTCTGTCATGGCTACTGCCACCAGAAGACTCTGGGTATTTGCCATCACCATTTGCAGCCCGCGAGATCACAATGCTACGCAGCTTAGGTCGCCTGTCAAAACTGTTAATGCTGCTGTTGACCTCAGAAGAGGTAGAAGGTGTATCGTAGTTCTTGCCTGAGTAGTCGTACTCCTGCTTTGTATCTGGCTTGTTTACCTGTATTTTCCACGATTCCTTCTTGTTCCTATGAGATGAATGTCTGCTTCTGCGCCGTTTATGGCTGCTGTGCAAGGACCGGGAGATGTAAGTGGGGTTGCTGCTAATGCTGGAGCTGCAACTATCACTACTGGAAGCGGTACAAGTTGATGATGACAATGCGCTCTGTTGCCGATTGGAATTTTTGCCATTACATGAGTACACCAATGAATCAGAGTCAATGTTAGAATGATCTTGGTTGCTAAGAACATGTTTTTTTGCAGATGCTGTAGTTTTCCTGGCTTTATGACCTTCAACAAACACAAAGTCACAAGTAAGTGGATATACTAACTCCATTTAGCACAAAAGTAATAAACTAAAGCAACAGAAAAGTTATCATAACCATGAAACCAGCTTTACCCTTAGACTTTGCTGTATTGCCAGATTTCCTCTTGTGCTGAGCTTTCTTCTTCTTCTTCTGAGATTTACGAACGAAGACTGGGTTGTATTCCGATCCTGATGATTCTGGACAGCTTGCTGATGTGGAAAATGCATGACTGTAACTGCGGTCACTGGAGCCTGTGCACGTCATCTGGGCCAACTCCTGAACCAAAACATAAAACCAAATGTAATAACCATATATTAAGATCTGTTAAGACTAGGATGGTAAGTGGGTTGTTCCAATTGACCCGTTACTGGCGTAAACAAAACAGAAGCTTTCAAATTGAAAACCAGCATAAAAAATAAGAAGAGGAGAATCTGGTTGTCACAGACATATTCTGTTTCATAATACCTACCTGACTTTGATCAACATTGTCACTGCTATATATATATGTTATAAAAGGAAAACTGTCCCACTATATGCCATGTAGGTGCTTGAGGGGAGAGGAAACATAGATCCTACTCATTCTTGACCTTGGCACTAGATGGGGTCAGTGGTCAGCATCACAACCCGGCTGCGCTTTACCCCCGGGAAAGGACCCCGGTACACATTGGATAGGAGGCTGGGTGGGCCCCAGAACTGGTCTGGACACAGAGGCTAGAGGAAAAATCCTCTGCCCTCGTCGGGGATCGAACCCCAGTCGTCCAGTCCGTAGCCAGTCATATAAAAACTGAAATACACAATAAAGATGTGCTGCTGGATCAAATGGTCATGAAATCCAATTGTTTATATTCCCATCTTCCCATAACTAAAACAACACTTGCATTGTCCCTGCAATGAAACTAAAATCCAGAAAACCACATAAACCCAAATTGAATAAAATGTAGGATGATACTCTGCTGCTCTACAAGGGAAGGCTTAGTTAGGCACCATACATGCCACTACAGAAAGCCAATCTGGATTAAAAACATACATGTTGTACAAATTTAAAAATGTCAGGAGCGGCACCAAACATACAAGCAATTCAAACACCTTCCAGTGTCCTTTCACAAACTGTGATGCTGCTGCTAAAACTCTTCTGGAGCAGGGATAATTGTGAAATTGCTGACAGATTTTATACATTCCCATACTTAACAGATATTCTGGTTTCACATACAACAGATATGAATAATACAGACATAATGATTAAGAAATATACCTCCACCTACAATGACAAGAAAAGTCTAAAAAGGGAAAGCAGTGGCTTTCCAAAGGGAAACAGTGATGGCATTGCACTGGAAAGGCATGGAAGATGTACTAATGACTACCAAGCACAATACAGAAGCAGTGGATGCAAACAACCAGAAGATAAAGATTAAACAAGCAGTCACAGCCTATAACACTGACCAGCACTTATTAAATTACCCTGTACCTAAAAAAGATAAGAAAAGATATTCTTTCATCTTACATACCTAGCCCTCTGTAAGTCCTACATCCTCTACTGCAAAATGGGGTGGGTGGGTGTGTGTGTGTGTGTTAAAACCAGTACAGACTGTGTGGAATATAGAAGACTTATCAACTGTTTTTCATATCTTGTCTCCTTTTCACTGCTTGTCAATATTTGGTTTTCTTGCTATTTTCAGGCACATTAATAAATTAATTAAACTAAATATCATCATTCACTCACTGAATATGATCCACTGTTATAAATCTCACGGTCTGATTCTAATAAACAATGTTCTAGATTGCCTCAACTTTACACTCTTTGCTGCTTTGAAAGCACAAATAATCTTGCTATCACTCAATGCCAAACGGCAAACTAACTGAAGTATGAAAAGAGCCTTGCAATTTAAGACATGAAAGCAACCACTCACAATGATGTGTTTGTGCTTCAAGCAATGAAGAAACAAGAACAACAATCCTGGTAAGCAGTTACAAAATAATCTGAATAAGTCATTATCCAACAAAAGGCAGAGATTTAAAATGAAATGCCACAATTAGTAACTGAGAAAAATAAGCAGAAAGATCAGAAGATGGCTGTCTTCTGGGTTGTAGTGCCTTGTAGTCTGGTAGAAGTTTACCAACCTTTCACAGGTCTTTGCTGCCTCCATCATCAGGGTAATGGATACGCCATGTGTGTGGCATCAGTTTGAGATAAAGGAACCAGACAGTCAAGGCTCGGACCAGTGGGGAGTAGAGTCAGGATCGCCTGAGAACCAACAGGTGATGGCAATTCTACAAGCAGACTGAGGGTATGGCCATGGGTTCACCACTATACCCTGTCACTGCCAACTTCTTCATGGAGAACTATGAAAAAACAGCTCTGGAGGGAGCAACCCACAAGCCCCTCTGCTGATTTTACTACATGGATGACACGTTCATCATCTGCCCCACGGCTCAGGCAAGCTGTTGGAGTTCTTTGACCACCTGAACAGTGTCCATGAGAATATTCAGTTTACCACAGAGAATGAAAGGGATGGCCATCTTCCCTTCCTTGATATCCAAACTGATGGCTCAGTGGGCCATAAGGTTTATCAAAAATCTACCCACCTCAATTCCAAATCCCACTACCATCCTTCCAACAAACGGGCATGTGAACATAACCTTCTACAGCATCAGCAGGCTGCTGTTCAGGCACATCATGTCTATGGGCATTCTCCTAAAAATATCCCCTTTCCTTCAGCCTCCGTACAGCATGCCCTGCGAGCATGGTCATTTACATGGGCAAACCAACTCTTCCAGCAAGATCAGTCAAGGAATACCAGTGCCACATCCAGATAAATTTGCCATGGCTGAACACACCAACTTGGTCCTCCACATTTAACTACAGACCACCACCCTCTCTGCCAAATCTAGATACATGTACCAGATAATCAAGGAGGCCATTCAGATTTAGCTACATCTGAACAAGAAGGATGGCCTTTGCCTGAGCTGGTCATAGAAGACCCTCATCTACTGTTCCAAAGGATATAAGAAGCATATGATATATGAGGGTGAGTCAAATGAAAACCGTAAAACTGAGATAAAAATTCGAAATATCGCGCCATTGTCCTATAAGTTGGCAGACATGTTACCAATGCTATAAAGAGTATCCTATAGGTGGCAGTATAATGCAGACAAACAGAATGCCATCACAGTGCCAGATTGAAGATGGCTGCTCCACTAGTTACATGCACGAAAGAAGAACAGCATTCTGTAATTTGTTTTTTGATCAGTGAAGGTGTGAAACCGATTGAAGTTCATCTACGGATGAAGGTTCAGTATGGTGATGCATGCTCGTCACAGCAGCAAGTGTACGAGTGGGGTAGGAAATTCAGAAATGGTGTGACGTCTGTAGCAGACGCTCCTCACCCGGGTCAGGTGCACAGAGTTGTGACCCCTGAGTCTATTGCAGCAGTTGAAGCCCTACTGATGGAGAATCGCCGAGTGTCGGTGGATGAAATAGCCGAAATTCTTAACATGAGTCACAGATCAGCACACCATGTCATTCATGATGTGCTCCAGTTTCACAAAGTGTCTGCAAGGTGGGTGCCACAGTAGCTGACTCCAGAATTGAACCAACAACGTGTTGACGCCTGTGAAGAACTTCTGTGGCACCTTGAAGCAGAAGGTGATGGCTTCCTTCCGAGAATCGTTACTGGCGATGAAACTTGGGTGCACTACCACCAACCGGAAACAAAGAGAACGAGCAAGGAATGGCGTCATTCCTCATCACCAAAACCCAAGAAGTTCCGGACGCAGCCATTTGCAGGGAAGATTATGCTGATTCTCTTTTGGGACAAACAAGGCGTACTCTTGGAGCAATACACGCCTCGGGGGAACACTATCACCACTGCCTCATATTCAGATTTCTTGAAGAATCATCTTCGACCTGCAGTCAGATCAAAGCGACGTGGACTTTTGACTAGAGGTGTCCTTTTGCAACATGACAATGCTCGGCCCCATACTGCCCGTGCAACAATCCAAGACTTGCACTTTGAGTGTCTTCCACATCCGCCATACTCACCAGACCTAGCCCCAAGTGATTACCACATGTTTGGGACACTCAAAGAGGCGATAGGAGGAAAGAAGTTCCGTTCTGATGAAGAGGTACAGCAGGCGGTACATGAGTGGTTGCGCAGACAACCACAAGATTTTTTTTCTAGAGGAATCCATACACTTTGTAAACGCTGGAGGGCCTGTATTGAATAAAATGGAGACTGTGTAGAAAAATGATATAGTTGTGTACCGCTTTCATTCAATAAATTAAATTTAATTTTTTTTTTTAGTTTTCATTTGACTCACCCTCGTAGCATTACCAGTCAATGACTGGCCATTAGGCCACTACACTGTCCTTTTCAGGATACAACCTCCCTGGCTCATCCTTACTTGCACTCTCCAATCTCTCATATTATTCTGTTCATTTCTCCCTGTATATTTCCTTCATTCCTGGTCCTCCTCATCACATCCACCCGCGGGACCCCAAGAGGCCCCTATAAGGGCTGCTTTCTCAGATCATTCTCTCTTGCATGTTTGTCCCCCTCCTGCTGACCAGGCTGTGGCATGACCTCATCTCCTACTGGCTCTCAGGCCTTCAACCGATCCTGACCCTACATCCCCACTAATCTGGCCAAGGCTCTGCCTTGATTGCTGGTTCCATTTTTCTCAAACTAATTCGACATGTGCAGCTTACTCACCACATTGATGATGGAGGCAGTGGTAAACTTCTACCAGACTACATGGTGCTAAAACCCAGCCATCTTCATATTCAGTGCTGTGAGAACCTCAAATCTTACTTAGATCAGACTTTCATCTTTCAGAGCACTATCATAACAATCAGTCACCCTAAGACGGCAGTATTACTAACATTCTGTGTAGGATGTATTGGTCTGCTGTACTCAACTCAGGGTTAATCTACAAAACTCTTCTACATTTAACTTGTGCAAATATGGTATGTTTCAATTAAATGCAACCAAAAACCACTATCTAAGGCAGGGGTGGCCAACCCAAATGATCTTTCGGGCCACTTTGGAAATGCATCATAACTCCGCGGGCCACATATAAAATTATATATCCCCATATTAGATTTAGATACACTATAGACATTTTTTTGGAGTAAAAAATTGAAACATAATGAGTTATTATTATTGTGTTTACTATTATTCTTACATGTAAACATAGATAATATAATAATAATGATAATAATAATATATTTTGTAAAAGTGTGATGAATCTCGCGGGCCGGAAAAATGTTCAAGGCGGGCCACATGCGGCCCGCGGGTTGGCC